AAATTATCAGCTGGGCACTTTTCACTTAATAAATAGCCACGATTTCATTAGTAAAATTCTTAGTGATTTTGGGCAAATCGATCATTCCGGCCCTGCCGACCAGGAATTTTGGGGATCTTCCTGTATGAGTTATAAAAGGTTAATAACGGCCGGAAATTAGTAACAATTATGTAATGTGAGCCAAAATTTGTAGATCTGCGGCCATTAACAAATCAAAATCGAGTGACAATTTTGTGTTGATCGTTTGAAGAAATCTGATTGGTGCTTACTTGACTGCCTTTTGAGGTTTTATTTAAAATATTATTTAAAAATACATATGCACTTGCTATTAGAACCAAAAAAAAACACAACATGCTAATTTCGCAACAGGGGGGAATGTACCTAAAAATAGAACATGTTACACAATTTATGAAAATGTAATTTATAAGTTTAAAGTACTTTTTCACGAGGCTTGTGTAGCCATTTGTCTTTATGAAACATGGACAAGCTACTAAGCAAACTTGGTTAGCACCACTGCCACTGGATTCGTTTCCTGAACCTTGGTTAGAACCACTGCCATTGGATTCGTTTCCTGAACCTTGGTTAGAACCACTGCCATTGAAACCGTTTCCTGAACCTTGGTTAGCACCACTGCCATTGGATTCGTTTCCTGAACCTTGGTTAGCACCATTTCCATTGGAACTGTTTCCTGAACCTTGGTTAGCACCACTGCCATTGGATTCGCTTCCTGAACCTTGATTATCACCACTGCCATCGGATCCGCTTCCTGAAACTTGGTTACTACCATTGCCATTGAATCCGTTTCCTGAACCTTGGTTAGAACCACTGCCATTGGATTCGCTTCCTGAAACTTGGTTAGAACCACTGCCACTGGATCCGCTTCCCGAAACTTGGTTAGCACCACTGCCATTGGATTCGTTTCCTGAACCTTGGTTAGAACCACTGCCATTGGATTCGTTTCCTGAACCTTGGTTAGCACCATTGCCATTGGATCCATTTCCTGAACCTTGGTTAGCACCACTGCCATTGAAACCATTTCCTGAACCTTGGTTAGCACCACTGCCATTGGATTCGCTTCCTGAACCTTGATTATCACCACTGCCATTGGATCCGCTTCCTGAAACTTG